GAATTTAATATTTCTTTCACACTGGATGAGTGAAGCTAGGAAACTATCTAGTACAGAGCTCGAGGATGGTTTGAAACTTCTACTGGAAAGAGGTTTGCATTTTGCCCTTCCTAATGATGTAAACCATTATCTAGAATTACTTTTTGAGCTGATTAACTTATCGGATATATTATCTAAAAAAGTTAAGAATAAATTAAAGTTGGAGATTATTCCAGGTAGTTGCGCCATCGAGGTCCTTTGTTATGAGTAGATTTTCTAAATATTTTGTTCGTAATAATCTAATTGTTATGAAAGACGACACTGGTGGAGCAGTGATAATCTTGGACAGATCAAGTTATCTAAAGAAAATGCTTAAGAATTTAAATGGCATTAATGAATGATCATACATAAGGACTTAAAACTAGGCTAAGCGAAATTTTGTCTACATGAACTTTAAGAAAATTGGGACGAGAATATGTAATAATTTATTCATCATCGATGTTATCCTCCCTGTTAGGAAGCAAAATTAATAGGAATTTCTTGCCATCATTTTTACGGGACATTCGACTCAATCTATTGTGATCAGGGCTTTATTTGATATTTTATTATTAATTTCTTTATCGCTTCTTTTTAAATTTTTAAAGTAAGCTTTCGTTACCATGTCCTCTTTTCCTGCTTTTTGTGAGGGATTATTCTTTTTATCACGCAAACCTATCATATCAAGGCTCTTCCTGTCTTGAGGACACTTTAAAGCCCCGACCCTCAAATGTACTTCGACAGCTTTCTTCAAATCGGCGCAAAATAAGTTTGCCTCAGGGTCTGGGCGTTTACTTGCCAGTCAATCGGTCGTCAACTGCCGCTTCTAAGCCTGCTCAAATTTCCTCGTGTGACTATGTTACTAGTGCTGCTAATACGGTTGCTGAGAAAGCTGGTCTCTGTTCAACCAGCCCCGAAAAAGGCGATTTTAGCTTTACTGGCTATACCACCAGGAACAACGCCAGTATCGTTGATAGGGGCCTCGATGACCTGCCTGTATGCACAACCAGTGGTCCCCTTCCTTTCGGCAGGAATAGTATTACAGAAAGGCACTCACAGGCGCCACAACAACAATTCCGGCGTCTGCCGGAGGCACAAGCACAAGCATATTTTTTACAGGTGAAACCAATTATTTTTCCATCTTCATGCATATCAAAAAAAATTTTTAATGTTGCAGTTCGATAATAAT